TGGTGTTGGAGAAGACTCTTGAGAGTCCCTTGGACTGCAAGGAGATCCAACCAGTCCATCCTAAAGGAGATCAGTCCTGGGTGTTCATTGGAAGGACTGATGCTGAAGCTGAAACTCCAATACTTTGGCCACCTCATGCGAAGAGTTGACTCATTGGAAAAGACCCTGATGCTGGGAGGGATTGGGGGCAGGAGGAGAAGGGGACGACAGAGGATGAGATGGCTAGATGGCATCACTGACTCGATGGGCATGTGTTTGAGTAAACTCCAGGAGTTTGTGATGGATAGGGAGGCCTGTCGTGCTTCGATTCTTGGGGTCACAAAGAGTCGTACATGACTGAGCAACTGAACTGAATTGAACAATGTATGTTTAAGAAGCCACAAACAGGCTGTTTTGTTTAGTCTAAAGTTTAAATTAAATCTTGTATAGGCTAGAATGACTTCTCCATACCTCAAAATGTCAATATTTCTTCCCTCATTTTCACCTTTTAAGTTGTTAACTCTTTCCATAGACAGTAATGATAATTGACGTATTTTTCTAACGCCGCCACAGTAGTTTATTTGCGTGCTCTGGGTCCATCCACATCCCTCAGTGCTAGACCTCCTTTTTATGTATATATTTGCCTAGTTGTCCACCTTGGGGGAAAACTAATTAGACATCACGAACAGACTCGGAGCTTAATAGGGAAATGCTTTATATGTTATACATTTTATCATTCATAACTGATTGTCACACAAACACTGTACATGTGCTTTAAGCAGTACACTTAAAGCCAGCAGTGCTACACATCATGAGAAGTTACACTCTGTGACAACTTTCCTGGACAATTTTTCCATCATGAACACGGGGGTCAAAAGTATGATTAGAAACAAAAAATTACTTTCCAGTAGAAGTCTCTGTTACCAAAATCAGATCAATATTACAGGAGAACTTTGTTTTCTTAACAGAGAGAACAACCAACTTTAGTCTTGCATCAGTTTACTGTTAGTAACAAAATTCATTTACCTAATTAAAGTCAGTCTAATCTTAATCCTGACAACACACACATTTTTTTCCCCAAAATTCCTTTTCACAAACCTTTTGTCACATTCTAGGTCCAAACAAATTTGTCCTTTATATCTTTGTCCAGAAACAAACTGTAGGACAAAATTATCATTTTTCCTCAACAAAAATATCTTCATTCTTTATAACTTCTCTTTGTTGACAACATATATCCTACTTGCTTTACATACTGAAATGCTTTGCTTATCATTTTTACATATCTCAATTTTTAACCCTTGAAAGTTTTAACAAAACCAAGAAACAAGTGATTGAAATGTTACACCAGCATTTTCTGACTGGCAAACTTAAGATAACCTCAAAAAACACGCACTTTTTTAATAGTATAATTTTTCTTCAGTGGTACAACATATATGCTTAATAAACCCAAACAGCTTTAGACTCCCTCTTGGTTTTACAAGAATACAAAAGTAGGTAATCAGTTTATGGATTATAGCCAAATTATACATTCAATGTTAAAGCCTTTTTTCCTTTACAGTTAACCCAAGGCTGAAGATCGAGGCAAAGCCGACTGTGTTTGTGTTTCAAGGACATGATAAATGTCAAACTCAAACTTTTTCTGAGGCATGTTTTTGTTTCCTCAGGGTCTGAAAAAAGTGTTTTATCAAGTTAGCTTTCTCTAATTGCATATGCAAAACGAAATTTTTTTTTTTTAATTTCCAGACTCTCATCTTAATCAACCTTTTCTGGAGTCTGAAGAATACTGTAGTTGTACACTGTCCAAAAAAAAACACATCTTTTTTAGTCATAAATTAACAGCTAAAACTTTTCTTAATGAATTGAAGCTGAATTTCCAATTTTATATAAGGCAACAAGAATACCAATCACACAGTCGCTCAGTCATGTCCGACTGTTTGGGACCCTTTATTTCCAAAGTTTTTTATTTCCTAATTTTTGCCCATTTATTATTCCTATTTTCACTTCATGTAAATTCAGTTCAGTTCAGTCGCTCAGTCATGTCCAACTCTTTGTGACCCCATGAATTGCAGCATGTCAGGCCTCCCTGTCCATCACCAACTCCCGGTGTTTACTCAAACTCAGGTCCATTGAGTCAGTGACACCATGCAGCCATCTCATCCTCTGTTGTTCCCTTCTCGTNTGGGGGCAGGGCCTGAGCAGACGCCACTGAGAAGGGTGGGGCGTAGGGCACTCGCCAACTTCCTGCCGAGAGGGGCGGGGCCGAGCGGGTGCACGTTCTTCCGTTTGGTTCCCAACATAGCTTGTCTGGGTTTAGAAGTAGTTGAGGGTCTTCCGTGTCTTGTGTTGCACCACTGATTCCTCCCTGGTTTAGGTAACTGTCACAGAACAGTTTTAAAGTAAAAACTTAAAATTCTGTGGGATCATTACGCTGTAAAGTAAGGCTTATTCTTAGCAGGAGTCCTGCTGATGAGGCTGAAGGGATTCCGAGGTCTGGGAACTGAAACCTAGGGTGATGGCGGGGCTGGGGGTTAACATAGGGTGGTGGCTGGACCCAGAAACCCAGATATTCCTGCAATTAGAATTAATTTAAGCAGTTTAAGTAAACAACTGGATTTGTGTAGGGACGACAAGCTAGAATGTGAAACAGAACTCTTACAACCGGCTACTTCTACTTCCTACTAACACCTGTAAGGAGAAAAGTATCTTGACATCCCAGTTCTTCAAGGATCAAGCTCGTTAGACACTACAGTGCCCCAGCGACAGCGCACCCTAAAGCGAATTCAGGATGGAGAGAAACAGGCACCAGTCTGTGCTTTGGAGATACTACCTTGGTACATCAGTAAGCGCCTCATGGACCCATCCACCTCCTCAGCAAGTCCAGATAAGTTTGGAAGTCCCACTCAGTGTGTTTGAACTAAGTCCGTTAATACACTGCCAAGTAAAATTCAGGGTCATCAACCAGTAACTGGGAGATCTGAAAACTAGGAGAAAAAGAGAAAGCGTCAGTCATGTCCGACTCTTTGTGACCCCACCAGGCTCCTCCGAGGGCTACAGCCCATGGGGTCACAAAGAGTCCGACACGACTGAGTGACCTTCACTTTTTCTCCTAGTGCCTAGTGGGCTACAGTAGGCTCACTGCCATAGCTACGAGAAGCGTGCACACAGCAACTACAGAGTAGCCCCCATTTGCTGCCACTAGAGAGAGTCCATGCAAGGCAAAAGATCCAGCACAGCAGAAAAACAAACACACACCGAGTGATCTGGACTGACCAAGAAACATCAGGACTCCAACCTCCAAGCAAACCTGAGCCAGCTTTATGGAGGTATGGAATTTATACTGGGGGTACTTAACTGGATACTAAGGAAATTCTGCTTTAAAAATGGCCAACACGGGAGCTCTTTTTGACATTCCAAAACTGGCTAGAGAAAGCCAGTTTTGTAAAACATCTTTTCAGAATTCTGACCCTAAAGGATTAAGTCCTTCTAAGAGGAACGTGCATTTCTCTCCTTGTACCTTTGTGATATCAATGTTCTACCCGATCTTTTTAGGCATTTTGTTCTGTTTTGAGAACTTGGTCTGGAAGGTACACACAGTTATATTTGGCAGCCAGTCAAACAGACTGGGCCAGCTCTCAGGGGAATTTGTCATTAGGGGTCCCAGCCGTTAATAGTCCCTGCCATTATTTTAACCTTCCTTTTGTCTACTTGTACAAGGGCTTTCACTTTCTTAGAGTATTTTGAAGGCTGCATTTTTTGCACCCTCTTATGGTGACGTGTCTTGTGTCTTACCACCTTGAGGGGCTGTTGAGCTATCACTACTCAATAGCCAGATGGTGGATCCTTTAAATAAGAGAAACTTCTAAACTGCGACATTTTTAGAGCTCATTAGCAACAGCTTTCGGCTTCCCAGGAGGCACTGGTAGTAAAGAATCTGCCTGCCAGTGCAGGAGACAAAAGGGCAGAGGAGCCTGGGAGGCTACAGTCCTTAGGGTCGCAAAGAGTCAGACAGGACTGAAGTGACCTAGCGCACTCATACAAAACACACAGAGAAACAGCTTTCTTGTAGTTTTATTTGTATCTCTGAAAAGATCAAATTAAAAGGTGAATACAAAGACATATAATGATTAACTGTAAGAACCCCCATAATTTAAAACAACCAACGAAACAAACGAACAAAAAATTCAGTCTGGGAGAATTTATGGTTTCAGCTTCCTCTCAATGGATCTCACAGGTGCTTATACAACATTCGATGAGAGACTTCGCTGTAGGTCCAGTGGTTAGGAATCTACTTCCCAGGGAACACGGTTAGCTCCCTGGTCCAGGAAGACATCATATATTGCAGGGCAGCTAAGTCCAAGCATCACAACTACTGAGCCCACATGACCTAGATCCATGCCTCTGCAACAAGAAAAGTCACCACAATGAGGCCCAAGCACCACTAGAGTAACCCTGAGCCCAACAAATAAGACCCAGCACAACCAAAAATAAAGAAATGAATCATCCCCACATTAAACAGAACATAAGTTAAAAAAAGAATTTACAGGCTGGTAGAAAATTACACTGATACAGTACCAGTAATTGCTTGGAGCAATAGCTAGGCCACATTTGGGTCAATTAATCCAGTTGGAGATTGACAAAGGGTCTTTCTTAAGTGATTTTTTTTTTTTTGACATGCCATGCAGCTTGCAGAATGTTAGTTCCCTGACCAGAGCTTCAACTCAGGCCCTCTGGGCAGTGAAAGGACAGAAATCAAACCATTGGTTCACCAGGGAGTTCCCTGGGTGATTTATTTATAACACAGAAAAATTTGGTCATTCAAAAAAAAAATTTTGGTCATTCAGATGAGTAATGCATTACTTGCACTCACACTGTATTTGGCAAAACTGGTCTCATGGCCTTGCCTTGCTGCACTGTGGCTGAGAAATTAATACACATGGCTATGTTTGTGAAGTTATCATAAGAGTGAAGGAACTCATTACATTGGAGTGATCTTTACTGAAAATTTATATGTGGAAATAAAAAAAAAATGAAGATTGTAAGAAAAAACTGTTTCATGTCTTTCAAAACAAATGTAAAAAGTTTACATAATGAAAATTTAAAATAATTTCCCAACTACAAGCCTTTCTCTCTCACTTTCAGGTAGGGTGGTACAAATGACATTTCAAAAATGGGTATTTTTCATTTCCCAGCCTTGATGCTAGAATTAGAATATATAACATTAAAATTTAAAGACTCACCTTTGTTATTTGGGGTTTCCCAGCTGGCTCAGCAGTAAAGAGTCTGCCTGTCAATGCAGGAGATGAAGGTTTGATCCCTGGGTCAAGAAGATCCTCTGGAGGAGGAAATGGCAACCCACTCCAGCATTCTTGCCTGGAAAATTCCACAGAGACTGGCGGGCAACAGTCTATGGGTCGCAGAGTTGGACACTTCATGACTAAACAACTATATGCTTATTTTCTCTTCATGTCAATCAAGGAATACAGAAAGGACATGAAGACACCTATTCATACAGGGCACACTCACTGATGCATGGCAAGGTTCAGGCCATGTTAAAAAGAAGAGACAGGCCCAAGGTGGAGCCGCTGCCTCCAGGAGGGCAAACCAACACTTCATTGCAGTGTCTGCCTGCTTAAAAACGTGACCAGGAGTCACTGACTGGAATTTCCAGGACACTAGTGCAATAATCTGCAGGGCAAGATGCTGGCTACACCCTCCACCTGCCCACACCCCTGCACAGGAGACCAGACCTGAAGCAATGTGTTTGTGAATAATTTTCTTGTCCTATCCAGTTTCTACCTACAGAAACCTTCCATGTTGTACAGTTCCTTTGAGCACCCCTGAATGAACTAGATAGGATGCTGCCTGATTCATGAATCATTCAACTTCAATTAGATCTTTAAAATCTCTAAGTTCAAGTTTTTGCACCTTTTTTTGGGGGGGGGGGGAGCAGGGAGGACCCTGCCTGGCGTCTTGCGGAATCTTACTTCCCTGACCACAAATCAAACCTGTGCCCTCTGCAGTGAAGGGTGGAGTTTGAACCACTGGACTGCTGGGGAAGTCCACAATTTTTCTATTTAAATATATTTTGAGTCTGAAAATGCACTGCTATGGTATTTTAATTACAGCTGTCTGAATGTTCTGAAGCAGTGTGGAAAGAGTAATGCAAGTGCAAATTATGAATATGTAATTCCCAAATTGCATGTTCTTTGGTTCCATTGTGGAAAGCAATTCTCATAGTTTGTTTCAGCCCCAAGAGCCTAACATTGCATTGTTACCACCTGTTACAAAATACTGAGGTTGGATGAAACCCTGTTCGTGGGAAGAACATGATTCATTCAGGGTTGTGGAGATTACATTTTATGAATCAAAAGAGGAGATCCATGATACATTCTGAATAAAACAGTAGCAAATGGTAATGGCAGCAGTTAAATGTCAATCATACACATATACATACTATTTGATTTCTTTTGATTAAATTCCAGTCAGATAACTACTCTCTCGATGGTACAGCACCCAGATGGTATAGCACCCAGTCCTACAACACACTGTGGTCTGTGTATGGAAGGGCACCCTGAACATAACAAGCATAAATTATGGCACAGTTTTACATTATTCTCTGCCCTTACCTGATGCCAATTCACACACCAGTGAATTGAGTAATTCAGTGTCCCTGTTTTCTCAGGAAAGATGGATATGAACAAACCACAGTTCATCAGGTTAGCATCTTCGTCTTACTAATTCCTCTGCAGAGAACATCATGAAAGGCCTGTAGGAAAGCTATAGAAGGTTTTCAAACTACTGTGGAAAAGTCATAGTAATATGGCCTTCTCAAGAAAACTCAACTAATTAAATACTTTACACACTGAAGATACTGGGCTATCTTCCTACATGTCCTTCAGTTTCAACACATTTAATATACCCCTCATGCCATAAGTTTTAACATATTTAATACAATTATTCTGCAATAGTATTGGAGGTTAATGTTGGAGAACTAAAGATTTATTTATTCCTAATATGAATTGTCTGATGTGTGGCCTCCTGTAAAAACTGGTTTAAAAACTTAGCAAATTCATTACATCTATAAGGATTCTCCCCAATATGAATTTCTTGGTGAATCTTGAAGACATACTGGTTTTCTTAGAAGTGTTTTCACATTCAGTATATATGTTCAGTTTCTGATCTGCATAAATTACCTCCTTATGCCCAAGCTGTGAATATCTGATGAAAAAAACTATACAAAATTCATTACCTGTACAAGCTCGCTCTCCAATATAAATCCTTTCATGTTTCACAGATTTGAACTTTGGGTTAAAGTTTTAGCGTGGACATATATCTGTGTAGTTTCTCTGAAAGATATGCAATTTGAGGTCTAGTGCACTTGGAGCCTGGAGAAAGCCCTTGCACACACATTTCCATGACTCCTCTTCAATATGGACTCCTGTTGTCAAATGCATCCAACTCAAGGTGAAACTTTTTCCACCCCCACTGCATTTGTAAAGTACTGTTCCAGTATGTTCCTTACCTTACATTTGTAAGGTGTCTCTGCATTATGAATTCTCTCATGATGTGAATGGAGACCTGTTACTGAAGACCCGGCCACACATTACATTTATATGGTTCACTCCATAAGAGTTACCTTATGGTCACTTAAGATTGACTGCACTCTTAAATGTATGGCTTCTCTCCAAAATGAATTTTCTCTTCCTTTGTAAGAAATGAATGCCTTCCAAAACACCTGCCACATTCATGCTGTGGGTAAGATCTCAATTCAGAAATTAATTACCTGATGGTTACTTAAGTCTGGACATAGAAGCAAAGCTTTGCCACATACAACACATTTGTGTGGTTTTCCTCCAGTGCGACTTTTCTGAGGGTCAAACAGATGATATGCTTTACTGCATTCATTACATTTGTAAGTTTTCACTGTAGTATGATTCTCAGAAGATCTGAAAAGTGATTCCTGTGACTGAAGGCTTTGCACATTAATTACATGTCTATGGTTTCTCTCCTTTATGAACTGCCTAATGGTCAGTTAAGGCTGAACATGCACTAAAGATTTTGCCACTGATTACATTTGTGAGATTTTTCTCCAGTTATTAATTCTCCAATGAATTCCAAGGTGTGCAATTTGAGTAAGGCACCGACCACACATATCATATTTACATGATTTCTCTATTGTATGAACTCTCTGATTGACTATGAGGACTAAACTCTGACTAAAGACTTTGCCACACTCAGGATATTTGTAAGGTTACTCTCCATTATGAATTATTTGATGAACTGAAAAGTCAGTCCTGTACCTGAAGGCTGTGCCACACAAATTACATTTATATGGTTTCTCTCCTGTATGTATTGCTTGATGGTAAATAAAGGTTGAACGTGCACTATAAGCTTTGCCACACTCATCACATTTGTATGGTTTCTCTCCAGTATGAGTTCTGTGATGAACTGCAAAGGAAGCCCTGTACCTAAAGGCTTTGCCACATAAATTACATTTATATGGATTCTCTCCTTTGTGAACTGCTTGATGTTTAGTCAAGTCTGGATGTGCACTAAAAATTTTGCCACAGTCATCACATTTATACGGTTTCTCTAAAGTATGAATTCTCTGATGAGTTATAAGGCCTGAACTCTGACTGAAGGCTTTGCCACACTCATTACATTTGTAAGGTTTCTCCCCAGTATGAATTCTCCGATGATTCCTAAGGTATGAATTTCGACTAAAGCACTGGCCACATACATCACACTGATATGGTTTCTCTCCAGTATGAATTCTCCAATGGAGTGTAAAATAAGACCTGAGACTGAAGGCTCTGCCACATAAATTACATTTATATGGTTTCTCTCCTGTATGAAGTGCTTGATGTTTACTTAAGTCTGAATGGGCACTAAAAGCTTTTCCACACTCATCACATTTATATGGTTTCTCTCCAGTATGAATTCTTCGATGAATCCCAAGGTGTGCATTTCGAGTAAAGCACCGGCCACATATATCACATTTATACGGTTTCTCTCCAGTATGAATTCTCCTATGAACTGTAAGTCTTGCGTTTTGACTAAAGGCTTTTCCACATATGTCACATTTATATGGTTTCTCTCCTGTATGAACTGCTTGATGTCTAGTTAAGTCTGAATGTGCACTAAAAGCTTTCCCACACTCATTACACATGTAAGGTTTGTGTCCAGTATGAATTCTCCAGTGAACTGTAAAATAAGACCTGTGACTGAAGGCTTTGCCACATAAACTACATTTATATGGTTTCTCTCCTGTATGAACTGCCTGATGGTCAGTAAAGATTGAATGTGCACTAAAAGCTTTGCTATATTCATAATATTTATATGGTTTCTCTTCAGTATGAATTCTCTGATGACCTATAAGTCTTGCATTTTGACTCAAGGCCTTTCCACATACATCACATTTATATGGTTTCTCTCCTCTATGGATCCTTTGATGTCCAGTGAGTTCCAAGTCCTGAACAAAGGTCATGGCACACTCAGTACATTTGTACGGTTTTCCCCTCTGTGCTTCCTGATCTTGTGCCAGTACTGAAGGGTGCATAACAGCACTCTCACATATATTAGAAATGCTGGTGCAGAAACTAGGAGTTCTCTGAAGTCGTAAATCTGAGGTGGTACTGTTGATACTCCTCACAGCTTGAATACATTCAAATGTTTTCCCTTCAGGTTGAAGTATCTGCAGTTCATCTTGAAAGTCTGATCCATGCCTATTTTCAACAGGCTTATCTCCCACTGCAATTCTACTGTGCCGATCACTTTCATTAGTGAGATTTTTGTTCTGGGTTATAGTTATAGACATTCCTTTGTAATTTCTTTCATCATCTCTCCCCTGACACTCAAATTCATGCAAATGCTCCTGGACCTCTCTGAGGAAAAAATCTGTGATTTCATGGCTTTCAGGTCTTCCCAACATCACTGTGTGAAATACTTCTCCTTTATCACTGCTTGCTTTTGTCGGTAATTTCTGGCTTTTATGTGTATAAGACATACCTACAAGATATAAAGAACCATAGGTATTCTATTAATTATAATTAATAAATAAATTCTTTCATGTTGAACACATGATCTTACACCAAAAGTAATACCCATCCTAAACAGAATTATGAATCTTCCCAGCGATGATTTTCAAAATAAAAGAAACACTAAATGAACAGTGTTTAATAAAGAAAGAGTAATCGGGCTTCCCTGGTAGCTCAGTGGTAAAGAATCTGCCTGCCAATGCAGGAAACATGGATTCAATCCCTGAGCTGGGAAGATCCTACATGCTGTGGAGCAACTAAGCCCATGAGCTACAACTATTAAGCCTATGCTTGGGAGCCTGGGAGCCACAACTATTGAGCCCATATGCTACAACTACACAAGCCATCACAACCTAGAGCCTGTGTTCCAAAATAAGAGAAGACAAGGCAATGAGAGGCTCACACACCACAACTATAGAGTACCACCTGCTCTACACAAATAGAGAAAAGCTCATGCAGCAACAAAGACCCAGCACAGCCAAATAAATAAATAAATAAAATTTAGAAAAATAAAAAAAGAAGAGTGATCACCTGTAAATTCAAATTAATTTTACAGTAGGCTAGTTTCAAACACACAATGACAAAAACATTCATATAGTTCAAATCTATGTCAGTTCTCAAAGAAAAGGGTATTATCACACCATGACCCCAAAGCACACTCTACTTGGCTCTAATAGGTAGTAAACATACTACTGTCTCATAATTGAGGAGAAAAAAAATACATTACACACAATATACACATACTTCTACATAATTACATGCTAAAGAACAGACAGGGCTTCGCAGGTGGCTCAGTGGTAAATAATCCGCCTGCCACTTCAGGAGATGCAAAAGACTATAGAGTTCAATCCCTGGATCTGGATGATCCTCTGGAGACAGAAATGACAACCCACTCCAGTATTCTTGCCTGAAGGAAATTCCATGGACAGAGAAGCCTGGCAGGCTACAGTCCATGGGGTCACAAAGAGTCAGACACCTCTGAAAGACTTGAGTATGCATGCAAAGAATAGACAATATATTATAATGATAAATAATCCAAAAGAAACTAAATAATGAATAATGTAAAAACTAAAGAGCAGTTTCTTAAAGAGATGGGAATACCCAACTTACCTGTCTCCTGAGAAACCTGTATGCAGGACAAGAAGCAAAAGTTAGAACCGGACATGGAACAACTAACTGGTTTAAAACTGGGAAAGCAGTATGTCAAGGCTGTATATTGTCACCCTGCTTATTTAACTTATATGCAGAGTACATCATGCAAAATGCCAGGCTGGATTAAACACAAACTGGAATCAAGATTGCCAGAAGAAGTATCAACAATCTCAGATATGCACATGAATCCACTTCAATGGCAGAGAGCAAAGAGGAATTAAACAGCCTCTTGATGGAGTGAAAGAGGACAGTAAAAAGAAGCTGGCTTAAAACTCAACATTCATAACACTAAGACCATGGCATCTGGTCCTATCACTTGATGGCAAATAGATGGGGAAAAAAAAGGAAACAGTGCCAGATTTTATTTTCTTGGGCTCGAAAATCACCATGGATGGTGACCGCAGCCATGGAATTAAAAGATGCTTACTCCTTGGAAGAAAAGCTATGACATACCCAGAGAGCATATTAAAAAGCCGAGACATCACTTTTGCCAACAAATGTCCACAGAGTCAAAGCTATGGTTTTTCCAGTCATCATGTATGGATGTGACAGTTGAACCATAAAAAAGGCTGAGTGCCAAAGAATTGATGCTTTGGAACTGTGGTGATGGAGAAGGCTCTTGAGAGTCCCTTGGACTGCAAGGAGATAAAACCAGTTAGCCCTAAAGGAAGTCACCCTGAATATTCATTGGAAGGGCTGATGCTGAAGCTGAAGCTCCAAAATCAGACTCCTTGATGCAAAGAGCTGACTCACTGGAAAAGACCCTGATGCTGGGGAAGGTCAAGGGCAGAAGGAAAAAGGGGCAACAGAGGATGAGATGGTTGGATGGCATCACTGACTCAATGGACGTGAGTTTCAGCAAACTCAGGGAAATAGTGAAGCACAGGGAAGCCTGGCATGCTGTAGTTGATGGGATTGCAAAGTATCAAACATGACTTAGTGACCGAACAAAAAAAAGAACAAAAGGGCAGTTTACAACTGCACAACAAACACAGCATTAGGAAATAAAGGATTCATTTAAAACAATTTTCTTTTTTTTGGTCATACGACATCCCTTGTGGGATTTTAATTCCATGACCAGGGAGTGAACCTAGGCCCAAGAAGTTAAAAGTGCTGAATTCTAGCCACTGGACCACAAGGGAATTCCTTCGTATGATTTAAAACCAAAACAAAACACACTTTTATAAATATCTGTTATAAATCTATCAGTATATTGACATATAGGCCATTTTATGACATTAACAAGTAATTCATACCAGTTACACTGGATAATACACACAGAAAGACCATCATCTGTAAATTTTAAAAATTAGTAAATTAAATATTCTCTACTTACACAATAGCCATTCAATACAGCAATTCCCTATCTATACAGTAACCTTATCTAGTTCACTGGCCCCAACATACATGTATAGGAACACGCTTTGGGGTTCTCTGTTGGCTCGGGGGTAAAGAATCACCTGCCAATGCAGGGCACATAGGTTCAAGCGCTAGTCTGGGGAGATTACACATGCCTCAGAGCAGCTAAGCCTATGCTCTAGAGCCTGGCATCTGTACTACTGAAGCCTGGGCGCCTAGAGCCCATGCACTGCAACAAGAGAAGGTAGTGCAGTGAGAAGCCTGTGCACTGTAACCAGAGAGTACGCCCTGCTTGCCAGAAGTAGAGAGAAGCCCAAATCACAACAAAGACCCAGCGCAGCCAAAAATGAATAAGAAATAAATTATTTTTAAAATGTATTCTTATCACAAGAAAGGAATATGCTTTGAAAACTTATTACCCAGAGTCAGAGACAACACTGTCAGGAATAAAATGCAAATTAAGAACATACATGATATAATGTAGTAGACAAAGGGACATGTCACAATAAGCATAACAAAAGGTTAATACATTTTTTACCCGAAAGTAATCTTTGAGGGAAATTCCCTGCTCTAATGGCTAGGCTATGGTGCTCTAAAGGCTAGGACTCCATGCTTCCACTGTAGGGGGCGAAAATTCCATCCATGAATGGGGAACTAAGATTCCAGCTGCCTGTCACATGCTACAGCCAAAAAAAAAAAAAAAAAAACACCAAAATTCCTGATCTTTCCTGTAAAAGAGGCAATATTCTATGCAACCTAACAGCACTAATATTCCATTTATTCAAATAAAGGCAGTAGACTCATAGGAGTTATGTTTTCTCCAGAGTCTAAAGAATATGGCCATCCTGTATCAAAAAAGCCACTTTCCTTTCTATAGTCATGGTTTCATGGCTAAAATACAGACCAAATTCTGCTCAAATTGACTGTGATAACAGGGACAGATGGGCTGATAAAAATCTTGGATTGTCACTCAAACTGAGTGGGGGTAGGAGTCGGGGAAGCTGGGCTCCCCCTCCCCCCAGAGAGACAGGGGAAGTTAGAAGGGGTCCAGCTCATGGAGAGGGAGACAGAGGGGTTGGGAGGGGTGAAAGGCCACAACAGGACAGAGAATGGAGAGAGAAAGGGCAGTGGGGGACACTATTGGAGCTGTGGGCCGGCTCAATCGACAGCCGACTTAAAAAGTGAAGATTTGATCAACTAAAATATAACTTGACATTGTAATGTGGACAATCATCCTCACTAAACGCATAATTCTGTTTCCACTTGTAGTTTCTCTTCAGACAATTTTAAGTTAGCCTTATGTACTTCACAGTAGGAGAGAGGAGGATCCAGCCTCTCATCCAGCAGGGCAGATTCTTATCCTTTCCCAAGGGGCCAGAGTCATGAACATTCAGTAACTTCTAAGGGTTCAGTCCACTGAATTTAAGGTCTCAACTCTCACATAACCTGGTGAATACATCCCATTTATTAGCTAATGAGTAAAGATGAACCTTCCCATCTCAGAATAAAAACTTCATCAATCTTAATCTCTTTTCTTCTTACAGAGTGGCATTTTGTCTCACAAATCCTGCTCACAGCACCAATTAATGTTTTGCCAAAAGTTTTCACTTTCGTCTCAGGGTCAAAGGATTTGTTAACAAAATAAGCCATGTGTTCTATACAAATGAAAAAAGTGAAAGTGAAGGTGTTCACTCATGTCTGACTCTTAGCGACCACGCGAACTGTAGTCCACCAGGTGCAACCGGCCATAGGATTTTCAAGGCAAGAATACTGGAGTGGGTTGCCATTTCCTTCTACAGGGGATCTTACCAGCCCAGGAATCAAATATGGGTCTCCTGCATTGCACACAGACTCTTTACCATCTGAGAAACTAGGGAATCCCTATACAAATAAATAATACATAACACAAACAGAGAATTATCTAGCTGACTCTCAATATATTACCATTAAAAGAAAAGAGAAATAGAAACAAAAGAGGATACATCATCAAATTGGCTTCCGACCAACATCCATACTCAAACAGCGCTGGGAAGTCCCAGGACACAGCACATCTGGAGTCTCAATTGGGAAAAGGTCCCAAGCAGCATGTCCACTCCATGGGTGAGACTTCAAAGATTGCAGTTCGGGGTTCCTGCTTATAATCCCAGGACACAAACTGACATCATCATCAATCTGTGAGCAAACAGCACCTCTGGTTTCATCTTAATGCTGTTTGTTTTGTCTTATAAAACTTGGATGCTGCTAAGCCTGGGGCTTGGTTGGCCAGAGCCCCTCCATGGGCTGAACAAACTTAAGATTTGTCCCCTAACTTATTTATGGTGCCACAGGCCTTGCACTCAGAGCAGGCAGTCAGGGCATTCACAGTCAGGGTGCGTCCAGGCAGGTTAGAAGGAAGGTCAGAGGAATGCACTGCTTTGTCTTGAAGCCTAAATATTTATTTAATTTCCTTAACATCCTGGTGGCTCTATGCCTGCAAATACAGGAGGCATGGGTTCGATCCTTCACAAGTTTGAAATCAGCTTTATAAATGCTCAAGCTGTGGAAAAACTCCTTGTGTATCACACAGTGGGCAGGTCACCTGAAGAAAGGACAAGTTTGAACTCCTGATGCCAATCACAAAGCCTTACATGTGAGAGTCAACAAGGCTTTGAACTCAGTCAAGAAAAACAGGGGCTCCCAAGAGACACAGAGGGAACATGCCTAAGTACCCCAAAGTATATTACCACTTCGGAAGAAAGTGATCCTCACCCAGAGACAGCAGGTTCCTGAGGGTCTCCACCATCACGTCCTTGTACAAGGTCCTCTGGGCAGGGTCCAGGCATTCCCACTCATCAGGAGTGAAATCTATGAACACATCCTTGAAGGTCAACTGTGCCTGAAATGAAAACACATTTCACCAACGGGCCCTGAGGAGGGTTCTTATTTTCACAGAAAAGGAGAAGAAGCGAGGTAAGGTCAATTCAGCTGAAGTAATATTCTGATAAGATTCATACAAATCTATTTGGAGCAAACTGGTGGTCTCTAATTTAATTTCCTGTTTTTTCATAAGATGATGATATCCTCCAATCAACATGAATTTGTCATATGTGTGGACAAGACATGAAAAATAAACAAATTACAATCAACAGTGGGTTGTCTATGCAAAAGTGTTACGTTTGACACACTGAGTGACATCACTGTCGAGATGAGCTACAGCAAGACTGGTGTCTTCAGAGATGACAAAGTCCACAGTGGCTTTAAAAGAACACAGATTGTGATGAGGATGTCATCATCACATTGACAAGAGGTGGCTCAACACTTCATACACACTAAGCGTGACTCTAAAGACTTTACCCATATGAACTTGTCATCAACATAACAGCACGTTAGAAAAAGATCTGTGTCCACCTTGGGGAGAAAACTCTGTCACTCTAAGATATCACTCATATTAAATAGTTAAGAAATGAGGCAACAGCACCTGAGTTCAGGTGGTTGGGAGAGACAACTGAACCGAAGGAATCAGAGTTAAGTAACACAACATAAAAGACCATCCACAGAGAGTTCCCAGAGAATACAGGAAACAAGTTCAAGGAAGCTGAAATGCAATGGAACAGCAAAACAGTCACTATACAGAATCACCCCCTCTCCCCGCTAATCCACACAATGTCAATAATCTTACTACTATTTACATCATTCATATGATGAGGTAGGAAACACTTAAGGTCATGGAATACACTTTAAGATACAAGTGCAACTCCTACAAAGCATAAAGCATATTTATGAGATGATGTTTTATAATAAAACCAGAGTTGCATATCCATGCACTCATGCATGCACATGGAAACAAACTGATTGAAACAAGAAGAGTTGTCTTTATTTTTTTCTTTCATGCAATCAAAATTTAACTGAGCAGCAACTCTGTGTCCCAAACTGGAAATACAGCAGTGAAGGTGATGGAGCTTACAATCTAGCAGCCAGTCAGCCAATTACATTCATAATTTTAACATTACTATTGTTATATGTGCTCTGAACCAGGCCTGGTGCTAAGAGAAGACTTATCAGAAAGTCTTGACCTACATCAAGAAATCAGACGAGGTCTCCGTGAGGAAGAAACACTTAGTACTGAAATGGTGGGAAATGGAAGAGTGTTGCAAGGACAGAGAACAGCCTGATTGCTGGCTCTGAGGCAGGAAGATATTTACTGAACAGAAAACCAGCCAGTGTGACTGGGACACAGGGAACAAAGAGGGTTGATGCCAGCTACAGGCTGCTTTCTACAAGGTCTATGGATTTAGGACATTATTCCAAAAGCTACTGGAAGTCACTGAAGAATCTGTAGGAGGAAAGAGGTTTAGATTTGTTTTTTAGAGCTCACTCTGTTGTGTGTGAAGGTTGTTGTTCAGTTGCTCAGTCGTGTCAGACTATTTACGACCCCATGGTAGCCTGCCAGGGTGGCCATTTCCTACTCCAAAGAGTTGCCTTTTGACACATTCTGGGATGATACTCCCATTTTCTTTTACTTGTGTATTTCAGCATCTTTGGGACATTAAAAATCAATCAGTTGTATGTTAGTAAGTTTGTCAGCATTCTATGTCTTTTTTAAAGCTTGTTTGTTTTGGTTATGCTGGGCCTTCATTGCTGTGAGTAGGCTTTCTCTAGTTGAAGCTGCAGTACCCAGCTTCTCCTTGCAGTGGCTTCTCTTGTTTGGGAGCACAGGCTCTATAGAGTGTGTGGGCTTCAGGAGTTAAGGCTCCTGGGCTCTAGAGCACAGGCTCAGTAGTTGTGGTACATGGGCTTAGTTGCTCTGAGGTGTCTTCCCAGATCTAGGATCGAACCTGTGCACCTTACATTAGCAGCCACATTCTTATACACTGTAACACCAGGGAAGTCCTCAACATTATCTTATTGTAGTTCAAAAAAATAAAAAGGATACCAGTTCAAAAAAATAAAAAGTAATACAAGCAGAAAATAATATACAGAAGATTTATTCTAATGTGTATAAAATACCTGTGTTTAAAAATAATATGAAAGCTTCCCTGGTGGCTCAATGGTAAAGAACCCACTGGCCAATGCAAGAGACATGGGTTGTTGCCTGGTCTGGTAAGATCCCACATGCTGAGGGGCAACTAAGTCCCTGAGTCTCAATTCCTGAGCCAGAGCTCTAGAGCCCAGCAGGTGAAACTACTGAAGGCAGTGCACTCTAGAGCCTGTGCTGCAAAACGAGAGAAGCTAATGCAAGGAGAAGCCCCCACTGCAACAAGAGTGGCCACCACTCAACAGAACAAGGGAAAAGCCATTGAAGCAATGAAGACCCAGTACAACAAATAAATACGTATTTTTTAAAAATGTGACTTTATCCTTAATTTGAGGTATGTAGTTATGTATGTGTATGAAGTACACAATCACAAATTTATTATTATACTCCATTAATGAAATATTTAATTAAGATTAGGAAAGTTGGGGAATTCCCTGACAGTCCAGTGGTTAAGGTCCCACAATTCCACTGCATTGTCTTGGGTTCAATCCCTACTCACAGGACTAAGACCACCCATACTCACAGGACTAAGACCACCCAAGCTCACCATGCAGCCAAAAAAAGAAAAAAATTAGTAAACTTGATTTCACAGTTTAAATGAGAAAATGTAATGAAACACTCTCTAGACCTGAAGTCTCTTTCTCAACTTTCCATTCCATTGCCAAACATTAAGATTTTCAAGAGATACGCATTTATGCTTCTTCCTCAGGCAAAATGAGTCTTCAGAGGTCTATTATGAAAGTTTAAAACATGCTGTTTAATGCTTAGAATCAACACAACCCCTTCCTGAGTGCCCCGCGCACCCCCCCACAGGGAAGCCCTCACCATGAGGAACAGACAGTCCCCTGTGCCCACTGTCTGAGGAGGGACTCAGGACAGGCAACTCCCGCACAGAGACCAACACGGGACTTTCCCACACTTTCCCTCGGATCACACTCCCTTCGTGGTGAGGGCTCAAGCACACAGCAGCAGGGAGCTGCTGGGGTCTAGCCTCAGCAGGATCCAGGGGTACCCTCAGGATGAACGGTGTCGGGGGAAGAGAGAGAGAGAGAGAGAGAGAGGGAGAGAGCGCAGACTGGGGGTGTGCAGCAGAGTCTGGCAGTGCTTTATTTTTTACCGTAGCTTTTATACCCTAAGTTAGTACATTTCTAAGGGGAAGATAGTTTGACATTACATCAGCTTGTTCTTCACGAAACCAGGGTGTTTTCTGCATACTTCTTTGTTTATGAGGGTCTTATCATTACCTTCTGGCCTTGGGGCCTATTGACATTTTTGACCTAGGGTAATGCAAAGCTGTTTTCCCTAATCTATTCTTTATTGAACACACAGGTCAGTCCTTTTGGAGAAGTTTTCAGTTAAATTTATCTAAAAAGCTTACCACACAAAGATTCTGTAGCTCCAGTGAGGCAGCCCCTGTTTAGCATTCCTGGTTAAAATTAACAATTCTAAACTCTTATTTTTCTAAATCTTTAACTATAACCACTTTCAGAATAGTATTTTTTGTGTTCTCTAATAGAGCTTCCTAACCCCCAGGAAGGCTCTGTGCCTATTAGGGCCTTTATATGATCAGGTTCTTTATGCTGTTTGATGATTAGGGTATTATGAGAAGTCATGCATATTAGTATCAAGGGCATAAATGCTTTTGTCCAACAAACTAAAATGCCAGCAAAGGAGTTTAAATTCAAACACTCCTTTCACCCTGGATAATCTCGTAAAGTCCCACCACCCGGGAAGCTTATTGATTCAAGTTCTAAGTAAATCCTTATGTGGAAAGTGAAAGGTCACGCTGACTGCCCCCGCCAAAAAGTACCAGATAAGTACCAGGGACAGACATCCACCAATCAGCAGCCCGTTGCCAGGGAGACTGATGGACGCGAAGGTGTCAAGACTCCGGCCAATCAAGAAAAACCGACGCGGGACAAAAGGCCAATCAGCACCTTAGAGCCTGACTCCAAGCATATTCAAAAAGGTCCTGCCGCTTCCGTATCCGCCAGGGTATATAGGTGCCGCCCCCCTTCTCGCAGGTTGCAGACTCCCTTTGTCTCTTCACTCACCCGCCCCCGGGAGTTCTGCCCGAGAGCGACCGCCCAATAAAGGCCTTCATCAACGGTCCTTAGAGGTGGCTCTTTCTTCCCGCGGCGTTTTCTAACAGAAAGGGATCAGGAAAGGCCTTCTGCCTATGTCACAGAAATTAGGGAGTAGTCTATAGAAGCAAGCATCAAAAAGACAGATATCATCTTTAAGGTGAGCGCTGGGGGCAGCTTTTCGGAATCCCTGAAAACCTGATCTGTCTTGCCTGTCAGGTTTTCTCCTCATCACCTTGTCATGGGTGGGATCTTGTGAGCTGGCCTTTTCGAAACCCCTGAAGACCTGATCCGCCTTTCTTGTCAGGTTTTCTCCCCATGACCTTGTCATGGGTGGGATCTCGTGTGTTGGCTCCAAGCAGGGGGCACCTCCGCTGACCAGGCAGTCTCCTTCAGGTCACACAGCAGGCCCTGGTCCAGCCCCACTCAGAGCAGAGCGCCCTCCACTCCCCCAGGGCCTGATCTCAGTCTCAGAAGTGGAGGCTAAGAGCCCTGGTGCTCAATGCAGGATCCAGATCAGAATCATCTGTGGCCTGTGCACATTCCTGGGGCGAGGCCCCACACGAGAACCTGTGGAGCATGTCTGATGGAGGAGAACTGACTAATGAAAGGGTTGTGTGTATACATACCATACACCCTGTGACCATGTGACACATGTGTACACTGAAATATTTATCACAAACCACTAACCAACACATCCATCACCTCCAAATTCCCATGTTCTCTGTGTGGTGACAGCACTGATGACAAATTCCCAGCATGCAATAACAGAACAGGATTAACAATGGTTAGCATGCTGCACACACCTCCCCAGGACGCACTCATTTCACAACTCATAGTCTGTACCTTTTGACCAACATCTCCCCATCCTCCCCACCTCCCAGCCCCAGATAACCACCATCCCACTGTGTGGTACTAGTGAGGTCCACTTTTTTACATTCTACATAATGGAACCACATCTTTCCCTGTCTGTTTTAATTCACTTAGCATAATATTCTCTACATGCATCCAAGTTGTCCCAAGTGACAAAAATCTCCATCTTTATGGGTACATAATATGTCATTACATATATGTATGTGGGTTTTATTATTATTTTTTAAAAATTTAGTTATTTTAATTGGAGGCTAATTACTTTACAATATTGTGGTGGTTTTTGCCATACATTCAGATGAATCAGCCATGGGTGTACATGTGTTCCCCATCCTGAAACCCCTCCCACTTCCCACCTCCCTCCCCATCCCATCCCTCTGGGTCATTCCAGTGCACCAGCCCTGAGCACCCTCTCTCATGCATCAAACCTGGACTGGTGATCTGTTTCACGTATGATAATATACATGTTTCAATGGTATTCTCTCAAATCATCCCACCCTCACCTTCTCCCACAGAGTCCAAAAGACTGTTCTATACATCTATGTCTCTTTTGCTGTCTTGCATATAAAGTTATCGTTACCATCTTTCTAAATTTCATATATATGCGTTAGTATACTGTATTGGTGTTTTTCTTTCTGGCTTACTTCACTCTGTATAATAGGCTCCAGTTTCATCCATCTCATTAGAACTGATTCAAATGTATTCTCTTTAATGGCTGAGTAATATTCCACTGTGTGTATGTACTACAGCTTTCTTATCCATTCGTCTGCTGATGGACATCTAGGTTGCTTCCATGTCCTGGGTATTATAAACAGTGCTGTGATGAACATTGGGGTGTCTGTTTAAATTCTGGTTTCCTCAGTGTGTATGCCCAGCAGTGAGATTGCTGGGTCATATGGCAGTTCTATTTCCAGTTTTTTAAGGAATCTCCACACTGTTCTCCATACTGGCTGTATAGTTTGCATTCCCACCAACAGTGTAAGAGGGTTCCCTTTTCTCCACACCGTCTCCAGCATTTATGTACTATGAAAAGTCAGATCTGATTCTCCCTCTTTTCCAGATTTTAACAAGCATTGTGCACACTAATACCTGACTTCCACATGCAGCTTCTTCACCCTGGTTGACAGAGCAGACAGCACATCCAGATGGGCCCTAAGCAATCCCTGCTGCCCAACAGTGCTGAGACCCTGTCTCCAACCGTGAGTGAGAAGCCCTGCTCAGGACCATGCCCAGGGGAGCCTCCTCACAAGGGGCAGGTCACCAGGTCATGGGGAGATGGGATCTAAGTGTAGATGACAGACCCTGAGGGAAGGCCCCAGGTGAGTGTGCATGTACAGGAGTCAGACAGGACATTCCAGAGTCAGACACGATTAGTGAGTCCAGAGAAGGACATTTCAGGAAGGACAGGCTGAGAACCCACTGAGAATATGACCTTACCCAAGAAAGAGCCATTCCTGACATGTTTTCTTTCACCATCCTCCTCTTCTGGGCTTCTTCCTCAGGTGACACGAGTCTTCACAGTTCTATCACGAAAGTGGAAAGCATGCTGTTTAATGCTTAGAGTCAACACACCCCCTTCCTGAACCCCAAGCACACACACAGGGAAGCCCTCACCATGAGGAACAGACAGTCCTCTGTGCCCACTGTCTCAGGAGGGACTCAGGACAGGCAACTCCCACACAGAGACCAACTTGGGACTTTCTCACACTTTCCCTTGGATCACTCTCCCCTCCTGGTGAGGACTCATATACACAGCAGCAGAGGCACCTCCACTGATCCCACGATGCCCTTGAGGTCACACAGCAGGCCTTGGTCCAGCCCCACTCAGAGCAGAGCACCCTCCCCTCCCCCAGGGCCCAATCTCAGTCTCAGAAGTGAAGGCTAAGAGCCCTGGTGCTCAATGCAGGATCCAGATTGGAATCATCTGCGGCTCTGTGCACATTCCTGGGGCAAGGCCCCACACGAGAACCTGAGGAGCGTGTCTGATGGGGGAGAACCGACTAATGAAAGGGTTATGTATATAAATACCATACAACATGTGACCATGTGACACGTGTACACTGTGAAATATTTATCACAATCCACTAACCAACACATCCATCACCTCCAAATTCCCATGTTCTGTGTGTGGTGACAACACTGACGATGTACTCTCCTGACAAATTCCCAGCATGCAGTAACAGAATAGGATTAACTACAGTCAGCATGCTGCACATACCTCCCCAGAACGCACTCATTTTACAACTCATAGTCTGTACCTTTTGACCAACATCTCCCACAACAACGCTTGTTTCACACACACACACACACACACACACACACACACACACCCATTCACTGGGTTCATCAAAAGGTCCACTCTTGCTCTCACAATCCTCCTGGAGACCTTGTCGAAGCTTCCCTTCACCTTCTCCCATTTTTCTACCTCTTCTCCATGCATGTTTGAAAAAGAGCAGAGACCACTAGGCATGCGTATTGCAACAGAAATCCACCCAAGCTGTAAATCCAAGGACACTGGGCACTGAATATGGAGAAAAAGAACCTGGTCCTCTGGGAAAACCTGTCAGCAACTGTGGACGTTATATAGTTGAGAGAGGCACGTTCAATAAAGAAGTCACAAGACGAGAGAGGCCTCAAAGTCACTGGCTCCTGTTCTCCCTGCTCACAGCTAAATGCAAGATAACCACAGGAAATTCAGCATCTGCTGCTCTGGGCAGCTGAACTGCTGGAAGGCAAAGCTGCTGTCCAAGATGGCAACTGGTCCCTGAATGGACAGAGCTTAGTAGACTTGGGGGCTGCAGTGAGCAGTGACATCGCAGACTAAAACATGGGGACACCTCAAGACACTAGATCTATTGGGTTTTTTAGGACTCTCACATCTTTTTGCTTTGAGTAATTAAGTCTCCACATGGGGTAAGGATCAATTAGAGTTGAAATGTCTAGACCAGATATGGGAACCATCATCACCCACCCTGTAACCTCCGTCTCCCCTGAGAATTCTTCAGCAAAACACACATTCATAGCCTGTGACATGTTGTAAGAGAGATGTTGCACACATCCTGGAAGGAAGAGGAACACAGGGGCATCCTTCAATGAAGGGAAAAGAGGAAACATTCCAAATAATCAAAAGAGAAGGGCATCTCTGATGAAGGTGATTAATATAGAGGCAGTAAACCTGGTTAACATGACAGAGAATATCAGAAGGAGGTGGGGAGACGTCTCTGGCCTTGACCTGAAGGAACAGAAAGAGCAAGGGCAACAGTGATATAATGACCAAAGGTAGACGTAGCAACTAAGACCCGAGACAGAGAAGGTTTTGGTGTCTATGAACAAGGACTAAGTGAATGTAAGCAGGACAGACTGACCGTGAGAACGGGGTTGGCTCCCAGGATGAGGCTGGAGACACTGGCAGCAACCTGAGGAGTCAGGATGCTGCCCTGAGGACACGGGGAAGCCAGCGGAGGTGGGAAGCATTGCTTCACATTGACCTTTATTCACAGAAGACGGCTCATGATTCTCTCTGACTCTGAGCCTATGCTCCTGCCTCCATCCTACTATTGTCATTTTTCATTTTGCAAAACTGGGATCCATTTCAAATTCTAATACTAACTGGGCAGTCACTCCAAGAACGGCCACACACCCAATTTGGTCAATCATTTCAGGGATCACTGTTGCTCAGCTTCTGGACCTGAGGGAAGCATCATCAGATCAACTCAGCTCACTAGTTGAGATCACATAAAAGAGAGGCAGATGGAGTATCAGACTAACTGCTTAAATTACGTCGTGACTCTTAACCTCTACTCCACACCAGAAAAAGGGATGGGGATGACTCACCTCTGAGAATCAGGTCACTGCCGCAGCCCCCACCTCTATAGCCTTGCATATGTTATGTTTTAATACAGATAATTACAAAATGCACAAGCCTTACAGACGTAAGTTTTGCAATTATCATTTTCATCTGTATAATTTAAAAAAGAATGTTTTAAACTTAGTAGATTTTAAAGCCAAAAATCAATGTATCACGACTTAATAATACATTGTATAATCGACTTCTACAATCGACTCAGCACTCTTCTGGATCTAGTCCCCTCCCCCACCTGCACACTACTTGTTTCCCCTTCATTTGGTTTATGTTTCCCTACTTCTTTCTTGTCTCCCTTCCTCTTCCCCTCTGCTCTCCTGCTGTGCCTGTCCTCCACTTCTTCTTCCCTGATTCCCATCCGGCCTCTCTCTGCCATGTGTTCCCCGTTAAGATGCTTTCTATCCAACCTCCCTGGTGATCCTCAATCTCCCTATATTTCTGCCTTTCTTCCTCCATCTCTGCCCGCCCTTCCTCCCAACTCTCTGGCACCCCCACGTGGCTATGCTACCTTTCAGCGTCCTTTCTCAGCTCCTCCAACCACTAGGAGCCCCCTTTCTCTCTCAGCAGGATATTGTCTGTAAGTCAAGGTCCCAACACTTGTATCCCCTTTGCGGGCTCTCTGTGTGAACTGCGTCTACACTGTTGCCCTCTTTGGGACCCCTGATTTACAGCCCCTCTCCCTTGAAGGCTATAGAAGGGGGCAGCAGAGGACGAGATGGTGAGATACCATCCCTGGACTCAACGGACACGAATCTGAGCGAACTCTGGGAGATACAGGGTTCGCAAAGACTCGGACAGAACAACACCTCCCTATCTTGCTCACCTTTAACTCTCAGGAAATTCTGCTTTTCTCTAAACTTTTCCCTTAACCGCTACCTTCAAGGCCGATACTTTTTCATGTTGTTCTCTCTTCACAAGTTCCTCACCAATCCTCTTCATTGCCATCGCTTCTCCCTCATGTTTTTCTTCATTTTCTATTTCTCTAGGAGTCGCTGTCTCTACTTCTCCTGACAACCCCTCGCCCACTATTTACAGGGATGGCGACTGAATTCGAAGCCCGGTTCCCGCAAAAGCCAAACAACAGCGGCTGGAATTTGGGACGGAAGAACCTCGGCTGTCACGTGGCTGGCGCAGGTCACCTCCCCCGACAAGAGTCAGGGCAACATCACTATGCCTACGGGGCAAAAACGCCGGCCTGAGGAGACGCGAGGACAGAAGGGCTGGCAGGGAGGGGGTCTCTGAAGCGGGAAGGGCTCTCCAGAATCCCAGGACCCGGGAGACAAGGCGGCCTCTCCGGGAACGGGGTGGTCGGCGCAGCCAGGTGCCAAGAGGACGAGGCTGGGGCCGGGGAGCTAATAAACCCACCTCGCCGAAGAGAAATGTATGTGGTGTAGGAAGGGCAGAGGGATCAGTGAGGTCAGTACATGGTTTGAAGCAGGAAAGAGGAGCGAAACACAGCGTCTCTGTGGACGAAAAGCTGGAAGCGGCTTCAGAGCGACTTTAAAGCAAAATGGAGGCGCCCCTTTGCCGCTCATCAAGACGTCTGAACTTGCTGGGGATGGTGGGAAGGGCGCAGGGATTTAGAGTCACTAGCGAAGCTGAGGCTCGGGATACTGAGGAAAGGAGACTGCAGGCCGCAGGTATGATTAGAAAGAGAGAAACTCACGCTGAGCTGAGAGACCGCCACTTGCCGCGCTTCACTTCCGGGTTTGCGGGACGCTGCGCGCACGCGCAGTGAAACAGCGGAGCGGCCTGGAGGCGGGGACTCAGAGAACCTGGTCATCGGGGGCGGGGGCGTTGAGCGAACACGCAGGGGGACAGCGGGAGCCAGAGGATAGGCTTCCGGGCGCAGTGGGCGGGGCGGCGGGGAGAAATAATTCATTACTGTAATCACCTCTGAAGCTGACTGCAGTCAGAATATTAAAACAGGCCTGCTCCTTGCAAGGAAAGTTATGATAAAAACCAGACACTGTGTTAGAAACAAAAGGCATTACTTTGCCAACAAAGGTCCCTATACTCAAAGCTATGGTTCTTGGCAGTAGTCAGGTAGGGATGTGAGTTGGTCCATAAAGAAGGCTCAGCATAGAACTGATGCTTTTGGATTGTGGTGATGGAGAAGAGTCTTGAGGGTCCCCTGGACTGCACAGAGATCAAACCAGTCAATCCTAAAGGAAATCAGTCCTGAATGTTCACTGGAAGGAGTGAGGCTGAAGCTGAAGCTCCGTACTTTGGCCACCTGATGGGAAAACCTGACTCATTGGGAGGCCTCCCAACGGCAGCCTCAACCTATGCTTTTGTGCATTATTCTGAGAATAAATTTCTGTTCCAAGAAATAAAAATAAATAAATAAACTAGTTCCTGAACACGTGTTTTCAGATATTTACAAAATTATCAGGTGCCATGTCATAAACAAAATGACTTTTCCCCTATAAATTACTAGGTATTTTGTACACTATATGCGTTACCTCAGGATTTTACACCTAAAGGAAATCACACCCTGGGCCTCTCACGGCCACATCTGAATTGACTTGGGGTGGAGGAACGGGTAGGGGAACAGGAAGGTCCAAGGTGACCCGAGACCACGGATATGGAGGAGAGGGCGATACCGCAGGCGCAGGTTAAGAAAAATAAAACATAAAACCACCTCACGATTCCCAGGGC